TATTCTCTTTCTATATTCTTATTAGAAAACTTTTCTAATAGAACAATTTCTATTCTTTAAATAAGGAAATGTCTATTATGGACCCTTGATTTTATCAAGCACGCTGAGACAAGCAAAACGAACACGCAGCGTCCTTCTACTACGGCAATGAATAGAATCGAGATGTCTTAGTTTATTGCCCGCTAGTTAATTTATCCCTGTCGCGGATGCACCAGTTGTGACGTCACAGGCATTCTCACACGCACTGCATCTAAACCATAGAAATATAATAGAGACACTATATTATTATCGTCTACTATATTATTTCTATGGTCTAAACGTAAGAAATAATGCGGCCGGTAATGCCGGTACTACAACATTCGCAACATTGTATACATACATACACAAGTGATGCAAAAGCAGGTGATACAAGGTAGCTGTCGGTATCGGTATCGGTATCGGTATCGGTATCGATACAAGGTAGCCGGTGATATCGGTATCGGTATCGGTATCAATACAAGGTAGCCATCGGTATCGGTATCGATACAAGGTAGCCATTGGTATCGATACAAGGTAGCCATCGGTATCGGTATCGGTATCGCTACAAGGTAGCCATCGGTATTGGTATCGATACAAGGTAGCCGTCGGTATCGTTATCGGTATCGGTATTGATACAAGGTAGCCGTCTGTATTGGTATCGGTATCGGTATCGGTATCGGTATTGGTATCAGTATCTATCGCTATCGATACAAGGTAGCCGTCGGTATCGGTATCGGTATCTATCCCTATCGATACAAGGTAACCGACGGTAAGGTTACATAGAACGTCGGTCAACCGTCGTCTACTAGTATTTCAGCCGATTAGGACTCTAATCACTGCGTGCGTGCATGCGTGCGTGCGTGCGTGCCTGCGTGCGTACGTACGTGCATGCGTGCGTTCATACTTGCGTGTGTGCTTGCGTGCATGCGTGCGTACATGCATGCGTACGTGCGTGCGTGCGAATCTCACACCTGTACTATATTACACCAATATATGCAAAACACATAAATCTCACACCTGTACTATATTACACCAATATATGCAAAACACATAAATCTCACACCTGTACTATTACACCAATATATGCAAAACACATAATTCTCACCTGTTCTATATACCTATGCAGCATACCTGTACAATACGACAGTATACCTATAAAATATACGTGTATAAATATTCAATATACCTGAATATATCAGTACAATATACCAGTAAATTATAACTAGACACCTATACAATATACCGGTATATCTATGCAATACACATTTACAATATATCTGTGAAAAATACCAGTACAATATACCTCTACAATATGCTGTTATATTACTACACAGTGTACCATGCCGTACACATTTACAGTGTACCATTACTCCACTGCACACGTATATATATTTCACCTGCACAATAAAACTTTATCTGAATCCCAGCACACGTGTGTGCGTGCACACTACAACTGTGCCATCAAACTATCTTTTATTGTTGTGGATTGTATCAAATATATTGTGTTCGGCTAGATTCAGGTGGTTGCCTGCTGCTAATAGGATTATAATCTCTCTATATCAATCTATAGAGTAAAACTTCGCGTTCGGTACGAGCTACTACTATTCTATACTATATTTTAATCACTAATTAATTATATTAGTAATTATCACATTACTATAATTCGGTTCTTCATATTGGTTTCTAGGTGTCGAAAAATTATCCGTGCCTGGACGAATTACTCGCCGCGCCACCACCGCTTACCACCACTTTATCTGCCGACTTGCTACGAATAAAGAAGGCGAGATACGAGCTGGGATACCTGATGAACGGAGGTGAGTATCGATCTGTGCTTTGCCCTGCAGGAAATCCCTCCCTCCTTATAGCAGTCAGCTCACGATCTCTTCTTTTTCTTTAACCTATCCTTTCCTCCACCCCAGCCCCCTCCTCCATCACCTTAATTCATCCTCCGCACTTTACCCTCAACTCAGCCTCCCCTTCACCCCAGCCCCCTCCTCCATCACCTTAATTTATCCTCCGCGCTATCCCCTCAACCCATCCGTCCCTCTATCCCCTCAACCCACCCGTCCCTCTATCCCCTCAACCCACCCTTCCTACATCTCCTCAACCCATCTTCCCTCTATTCCCTCTAGATAGTGAAGAGGGAGAGAGTAAGTGTAACCTCGTTTGTAAACTAATAACCACGTTTGTCTCTGCCGTGATGCAGAGAATGCAGATCCTTGAGCTGCTGCGTCATGATCTCGAGGCGGCGTTGAAACCACCCTTCGTGCTCGTTAAACAGGGACTGAAGTTGGACCCTAAGTTGGTTAGCGTATGCGGTTACTGAGCAGGAGGATGTGGCTTTCTGTGGTGGCGGCGGCAACTTAAGCATATCTGCAAGCTGGATCTCAATGGTGGCGAGATACTCTTGAATAGCAGTGAAATTTACCGTAAAAGCTAGAGCCCAAGGGGATTGAGTTACGCTTATTTGACCCCTCGGTACAAACGCGATACCCTGTGATGGCTGGTGTACGTCACTGGCTCTCGTAGCAATCGGGAGCATCAGCACTGCAGCCATCAGCGCGGTTATCCACCAAGCCGCCATCATGCTGTTCTGGAAAGGAACGTAAACGAGCTAGAGGCACATCGTCTTCGTCATCCCACTGAGAACTAGCATCCCCATCACATGTTCCTACCGGGCTTACGGCCCTTGGTGCAACCAATGTCGCCTCTCTCACAGGTCGCGTACGCCCCCCCCGTTTCTACAGTAATGTCATGAGCGGGCACGTCCCACTCCTGAAAGGGGTGGGCAGGTCGCAAATTACTAACGTGCACATCAAACGTGCGTGTACTATCGTCGCGCTTAATGCAGACACGTCTCGATGTAAGCTTTTCGATTATTCGATAAGGCGCTCTCCATAGAGATGCAAACTTACGTGTCTGTGTGCCAGATAAAACCGGGTTGTACCAAAGAACTGGATCGCCAGGCTCGTACTGAAACTGTCTAGCGCGCTGATCGTAAATTCATTTATTTTTCAGCCGCGCAGTTCTATTGTTTCTCTCGATCTATGTAAATGCTTTGTGGAGTCGCTCTGTTGCGTGCGTAACCGGGTCGTCTGAATAAGAGAGACGTCTAGGTTTTAGCATGGGTAGCACACCTCCCTAACGTAGGGTTACATCTATCTTAAGGGAGCTGGCCCCGACCATACCCAATTGCTGGCCTGATATTGATACCAAGTGGGTGGCGCATTGAACCGCCGGTACAAAACCCGCCTTCATCCGCACATGCCGCGTTAATCTGTTCCACGCTTTGTAACTGTAAGCGTGACGTCACTACCTGTGTCAACCAAAGCCGACAAACTCAATGGCCCTATCTAAATCGTACACATGGGCGCACAAGTTCTGTGTGCCCCAGTCTTCTCGATACGCGATAAACCCCTACCTTTCTCTACTGCCGACGCTGCATGAGCGGTGGGGAGGGGGCGTTTCCCGGCTGTCTATTAGGCATGCTCACCCGACAATCCCGTGGAAAGTGCCCCCGGCGGCCGCAGTGGAAACACACATCATCTCGCGTCGCTACTCGCGCGAAATTCTACCAAACCAGGTTGTGAATCTGGGTTAGGCAGATATCCGATACGTGCCCGGGCCGTGGGGTTAACCCAACGACTGGGGGGCACGGATCTCCCACCGTTATTCTGGTAATTCAACCGCGGCGCGTTATGTGGCCCCCGTGCATTACCATCGTGCCGCTTTTTGCTTTGTGTCATCAATGAACACAAATTACGTATCTCAGCCACCAGCGCAGTTCCCGTACCTGCCAAGACTGCGCCAACTTCCATGGCCTCTCCCATCTCCATCGCTGCCATATCAGAAACGCTACCAATCGCTCTATTGCGTAATCGCATTGCTAAACCCGCCTCTATATACGCTTCGTCAGCGGCTAATTCGATAGCTTGCGATAGCGTCTGCGGTTTACGAGCAAGCAGCATTTTCTGTGTGGCGATTGATACTAGACCATCAAGAAATACGTCAGCTAGTTGTTTCTATACCTCTGCCGTTTGAATCTTCTCCAACGCCATCGCCCGTGTTGCGAGAGATTGCAAACGATCTCCGTACTGCCTTTTATGCTCACCCCGCTGTTGACAGAAAGACTTCAGTTCATGAAGCGCTTGCTCTTCTCGTAATGGATCGGCAAATCGCTTAATGAGTTTCACACTGAGGTCTTTCCACTCAATCGCTGGCGTTTCAAGCAACTTCCGTCTACAAAACTCCGCGGCATGACCCCCTACTATGGACAACGCAAATTGTTTCAACGAGTTGTCGTGCAAACTTAACTCGACCTGGGCCCACTCTAATGTGGCTCGCCAATCAGCAAAACTCGGGCCTACTACCGAACGATCCCTCATGAACCGTGGGATAGATTGCCGCACCTCTGCAACCCGTAAAGCTCGACTTAGCGAGCCTGCTGCCGTATATATGCATGGCTGCAGTGAATTTGAAAAGAGGGTAGCCAACTCCTCTAAATTTAGAGTCCGTGGTGGTGGTGGAGCTTGATGGGTCATGCCGTGAGTTTCGCAGTTAGATATACAAACTAAAGTCTAGCCATAACTACTTAACTATAATCACTGCTATACCTAGGGCGGAAATGCGACATATGAGCATAACTAATAGTGACTGATACGCTACGTTCTCACTTACCTTAGCAATTTGCTCGCAGATCAACGAAGAATGACCCCAGCACCAACACGCGTGCAACTCAAAACTCGAGGTTTCTTAGATCACGGTACCAAATGTAACCTCGTACTTCTAGGGTGAGGTACAAGAGCAATAAGAGTAGAGCATAGCAACAGCGTAAGATAAGAAGTAAAACACGAACTAGTAAAGTAACCTACCACAAAGAGTTGCATTCGACATAATGCCACAGTGAGTTGAACAGAGAGCAGATACGTAAGGCTGAATGCGTACAAATACACGTCAGTGACAGTCAACCAAATAGAGGAGAAGTGCCTCCTGCTCTTTCTCCCAACTCTCTTAAATGCACCCGAACTTGTTGTTCGACCTCCCTGGTCACGACGTACGTCGGCTGCGGGTGATGACAGATTATCCCGCACTCTGACCCCTCTGTTCAACGTCATTAGCCACCTTATTACTTCTTATATTACCTTCAGCCTGCATCGCGTGTGCACCGAATCTATTCCATCGGTTTGTCACCAACGCGACCCGCATGGCCTTATGCAAAACTAACAGTAATTAATAAGGTATGATGAAACTAGCTCCGTTAAATAAGTGCAAGAGCAAGAGAGCAATATATATATATATATATATATATAATATATATATAATATATATCGTTTTCACGTAGCCAGCCCGGTCTACTATCCATTAGAACCATGGACAAGGGTAAGTTGGCGCCTATACAGTTTAGACTATTAGATTACTCCCGTAATTCATCGACGAGGCTTATAGCAGAATAACTTAACGTTAAGTTAATTAGCAGATTTTCTACTTCACTTAATCTCATACGGGTCAATAGTTAACAAACCTCTTTATATCTCGCGTTCACACTTACAGCGTTTCTACTTATTATTATTTTATTATTAATTTACATCGTTGTTACTGTAACGAATGCGTGTGAGCGGCACACAGCATTACCTTTATGCTATTATAGATATGACAAAATGACTGTTGCCATTTTATCAACAGTTCGCATAATAGAAAAATTTCCTATGCCAAAAATATTCTATATTATTATATAGAATATTATCTACTATTACAGAATATGATTTTTATAGAATTTTTTACATGACTCTTTCTATATTCTTATTAGTAAAATTTTCTGGGAATAGCGGAAATGTCTATTATGGACCTTGATTTTATCATGCACGCTGAGAACAAGCAAAAACGAAACGCAGCTTTCGGTCTTCTACGCCCAATGCAATATGAATTGAGATGTCTTAGTTTTGTTGCCGCTAGTTAATTTATCCTGTCGCCGGATCGCACCAGTCGTGTGACGGTCACAGGCATTCTCACACGCACTAGCATCTAAACCACTTGAACATATAATAAGAGACCACTATATTATTATCGCTCTACTAAATATAGTAATAGATACAATACCTTTATATCTCATCCGTAGAGCGATATTATCCTCTATTTGTGTATGTATGTATAGAACTTTTGTGAATGTTGTAAGTACCGGCATTACCGGCGCTTATTTCATGCGTTTAGACCAGTAGAAATAATATTATTATATTAAGTGACTGCAAAAGCAGCGTGATACAAGGGTAGCCTGTCGGTATTCGGTCATCGTATTGGTATCGCGACTCGGGTACGCGTATCGAATTACAAGGGCTAGTCGTCAATATCGTATCGGTGTCGCGGTATCGGGACGGTGTCCGGCTATCGAGGATGTCGGTATCGGTGTCGGTATCGGTCTATCCGTATTCGATACAGGTACGCCAATCGAGTATCCCGGATCGATACAAACGAGCCATCGCTATCAGGTATCGGTATGTGGCTATCTATCGCTATCCGATACAAGGTAGCTGTCGGTATCGTATCGGGTATTCGTATCGGTATTCGATACAAGCTAGCCGGACGGTAAAGGTTACAAGACCGTCGGCAACCCGTGGTCCTACTTAGTATGTCAGCCGATTAGGACTCTAATCACTGCGTGCCCGCGTGCCGTGCCGTGCCGTGCGTTCGTGTGTAATCATCATGGTATGCTCCTATAATAGCTGAATGTTAGCGCTACGTCGACGCGATTATCGGGACAGATGGTGGCTACGTCAGATCTGCTGACAGTATTCGTTCACCGCCGGACATCGACATCGCC